GTTTTTTTTCTCAATTAATTCTAGGTGGATAAATTTTGTTCTCGGAAAGGGTTATATCAATAATTTTACTTAATAAAATTATCAAAATTCACTTAGTTTAAAAGTTGGTATATTTGTTCAAATTTACTAGTATTTTATTAATTTATTAGAAAAATGAACGGTGTACCTCTTTTGAGAACAAACTAATCATCTACAGGAATTAATTGAGGAAAAACCAAAGAAGATGCTATGTGAGAAAAGTTGAAAGCATAACATATTTACTCATGTTAATTTTACATTAAAAAAAGATTACGTTTCATTTAAATTTAATTATTGTCTTTTTCATTTTTCCATTCTGAATTGCAAATTGCATGTGAACATCTAGGCGTCTCCATCTTCCATGACAGCAGCTTCCTTTGATAAACTAAGTAAAATTTTTTTATCTTCTGATATGAATGATAGTGAGATCACAGTGATTCTCCTCCACTTATCATCAATTGTCTTTAACGATCAGCACTTAATTTCCAAATTAAGAACATATTCTTATAGGTGTGGATCCATCACCCATCTCTTTCATTAGGTTTAATGCGGAGATTAGAATTATTAATCTTTCGATTTCATCTCTTATACATCAAACCTTCATTCATTTGATAAGTATACCTACTTTTATAACTAAGTTCGTCTCAATCTTTTAGCTTGCCATCTTAAATATTAATTAGGTAAAACTCCGTTTATAGTATAGTTTATGTCATTTTGACTTTTCCTAGATGGTTTTTGTGTTTTTTTTTTCTTGATTAGTCTCCTGTGAATAAAATTACGTCATTAATTTTAACCGATTAAATTATATTCTCATTTTTAAAGTTAATTTATTTATTTTCACTTAAATATTTTGATAAATTCATTAAAATAATTAATGGTTAAACCCTGTCCGAGAGATAAAAAAAAAAGAAACAACATGTTATGTAAAACAAGTTGAAGTCTCACGAAATCTAAGTGAAATTTACTTATACTAAGTTTACATTAAAAGAAAGGTTGAGTTGAATTTCAGCTTAATTATTGTCCTTTTTCTTGTTCCATTATAAATTGCAAATTGCATGTTAACATCAAGGAGTTTTCTCCATCTTCGATCAGTGACAGCAGCTTGCATATTGCCCTAGTTCTCTCATGCTGGTTCGATTTTACTGTGTTCGCAATATTAAATAAGCCATTAATTAACCAAGTGGTTTATTATTTTACTATCTAAGAGTGGGAAATAGTCAAATTTGTCGGTCCAATCATTTTTCCAACGCCAATATTATTAAGCAGACAAAAAATTTCTCAATTCATAATGTCAACATTGTCTGCTTTGCGTGATTCATCAAAGTTGAACAATGTGGAGCTGTTCAGTTAAACTTTAGTTTTACAAGAACTAAAATTTATGTTTATTATTGAATCAATTTGGTTAATCCAATAACAACAAGTAGAGTGTTTCCGTATAAATAAATATACGATAAACTATTTATATATATTTGATATATTATCAATATACAAATGAAATGGTAATAATTGATTTATTCATATTATATAAAATTTATACAGTAATATTGCATCAAATATAAGTTATATGATAAATTATATATTTATGTTTCGTATTGAAATCAATGTTACTTGTTCGGGCATCATTTTCATATGGCCCTAAGCGATTACATCGAAGTAGATGCATAGGATCTTCCATGAATCATTTGGTGATGCATGGAGTGACTTTCACTCCATCATATACAAGTTGGTGGCTTTGGGAGGTCTGGTCATTTTCTTCTGTTACATTTTATGCATGTCATCTCAAAACCATATACTTTTTTGAGTTTGGTCAACCTAAAATGATGGTGTGTTAATCTAGCCAACGAGAGCTCTCTTTCCATCACTTTCCCTTCCATCTCTCTTTCTCATTGTCATGTTGTGGAAGAGTTTGGATTGGATATGAACTTGACTTGTCAAGTAGTATGCTCAATTCTCACAAGTTAGGTCAACGTCTGCCAAGGGCCAAAGGAAATATGTTCATTCATTTTAGCCTTAATCAAAGTTTATTATGCATTAAGGAAATTTTCAGGTTATAATTCATTATAACAAAATGTTAACCGATATCTATAAGTAAATATTGGTTATGGTGATATTTATAACCGATATCTATATATGTCTCTGTTAATTGATTTTCATGATAATTAAATAACAGAAGATAAGTTTGGAATTAGAATCAATATGTAGTTATTGTTTAGGGGTTAAATGCTCAAATTGAGACTAAATGTTCATGTACTTTTTTAATCAAAAGTTAAACATTTCAATTGTAACAATCAAGGGTTAGATGTTTTCGATTTCTTATAATTAAAAACTAAGTTGACAAGTGAATGGATTATATATCATATGCGACAGAAAATTATGTAAGCTGGTGACATGTAAATCTTCTTACAGTTTCCTAGCATGTAATACACAACACAACTTTTTTAATTTATTTTTTTTAGTATTCAAAGTTGCAGAATTATTTTCTAACTTGAACTAACAGCTTTAAGCCACAATCCATGCCTGACATTCAAGCATCAAATCCCTTAAACTGTTCAAATATTCTAAATTTCCAAGCTTTCAAATATTTTCCAACTATCATTAAGTTTAACACAACCACATTACTACCCTAGCAGCTCCAAATACCAAGATTAAGATCAATACCCAATATTTAAAACTTAGACTCTTACCTTTGAAACTTCAATTTCCTCTTTGCACCGCCTCCAGCAAGTCCTTCAGTGCAAACTTTCCAATTGCTTGTTAATAGTTTCTCCTATTTCCGAAACTCTATTTGGAGAGGTCAAGATTCTTCAAAGGTTGTCTTTAAAATGGCGGATCCTTCAAGTATTTGCCTCTCTTAAAAATCTTCAATTTATTCAATTCCTTTGGTAGCTCAAATGTTTTTGGAAGGGTTTTTAGGAGAAAGTAAGGCAATCATTTGGTTCATGCAAGGGGCAGACTTGACTAAAACATATAATTTTTTTTTAACGTAACTCTTGTTTCTCTTTTTGTTATATGTCAAGTTAAAAATTTAGTTATCATATATTATATAAAAAAAATTAATTATTATATACCATATTAAAAATTTAATTGTTATACACTATATTAAAAATTTAATCATTACATACCATATTGAAAATTTAATATCTACATCATGCGCGTGTCTTATACGCGTTGTATATTTTTCACCTTAACCTTTAATTGTAAAGAATCAAAAAATATTTGACCTTTAATTGTTGCACTTAAAATATTTAACCTTTGATTAAAAAAGTGTCTAAATATTTAATCTCAATTTAAATATTTAACCTCATTCAGGTCATCGAAAGAAAAAAAAAAAAAAGAGAAAGGAAATTTTCATTCAAGTTGCCGCGTAAATTAGAACTGGGAGAAGTGTCACATTTGAAAGAAATGTATGCAACTAATTAGATCTCCCGAAATATGGAGAAGAAAGACTTGGATATTATCATAATATTATTAGTAATAGATACTCTAAAGGTCAAAAGGCTGCTAAAGAATATATAAGTATACAACAATAAAACCTACCCCATATATTTTAACATTTCGTATTAATAATAAGAAGATTAATTTATGTTTGTAATTATAGTGGGTTGGTTTCAATTGACGAAAGCAAGAAAAAAAAAAACCCTTCAATTATTTGTTTAATAAATCATTGCATTTGACTTGGCATGTGCATAAAAAATAAAAGAAAAAACACTAAGTATCCTTTGAAATTAGAATATGAATAATTAGCATATGTATTATGTAACACGAATTAATAACTAAGGGAGTTATTATTTATATATTTGACATTTTTAGAAAAATTAAATAAGATAAGAATGATCACACTAGCATTTTTTATGAATTAACACTTTTGACATTATATTAGAATATATATATATATATATATATTGTGAAACCCTATTGAGTGTCAAATATTAATGTAAATGTTAAAATTTATATAAGTATTTAATTTTAAAAAAATTTATATACATATTTAAATCAATTAATGATATAAGTTTAAGCTTTCGCGAGCAATGTCATTTAAGTTCAAAAAGTTTATTAGGCCAATGATACTTAGACTCGAGTTATTACCACTTTATATTTACTAATTAAAATATATATGTTTTAAATAATTGATTTTAAAAAGATTTAAGATAAAAATTTTAAATTTTAATATATTTTTATATTAAAATTTAATTTTTTATAAAATAAAGAGTAAAATATCCTTATCTTTTAAGTTTTAACCAAAATTTTAAACGGATTCATTAGTTTTCGAAAATTCTAAACAGATTCATTAGTTTTCGAAATAAATATTTTATTTTAAAAAAATATCTTTCGTTGTATACATAAATCTAGACGTTAATTAATCATTGATTTGATGACGTGATAATATTGAAATAATAAATTTATTTTTTATTAATTTTAAAATTATTATCATATAATTTTTTATTAATTAAAAAAAGAATGCACCGATTGGTGCTACTGAAGGGAGATCGGTGCTCCCCAAGAGAGAGGAGCATTGATAAGTGCTCCATCTATTGGGGGTGATCCCTTTTTTTATTTTTTTTAAATATAATAATAATAATTTTAAAATTAATAAAAAAAGTATTTTAATTTTTTTTATAATATTTGTTAATGATGTTTATATTTTTGAAATAGAATATTTATTTTAAAAATTAATAAATTTTTATTAAAATTTTGATTAAAATTAAAAAATACGAGAGTATTTTGCCTTGATATAAATGATGGAATTTTTTAATAAGCATAAGGAAGTATTATTATATAATTAAATGAAAAGACCCAATTAATTTGTGGGTCCAGATATGCACTGTGTGTGCTAGAGTTATGAAATCTGACTTTGGACAAATTTGAAATCCGATTTTATTTCATTTATATTATATTTTATCTTGAATTAGTGTATGTTTCATGGTGACCGGTCACCGGTGGCGGGTCAAGCAAACTATATATAAAAGCAGAATGTTAAAGCCGTTTGGAAGTGCATTGCGTCTTTAGAAGGAGTGGAAAAGCTAATTTCCCACACACTCTCTCTCTCACTTTGATTCTTCTTTTTTGTTCATATCTGTTTCTACAGTGTCGATTAAGACCATCTTTTCAGCAAATATATAAAGGTTTTTAATCATGGAATCCAACGAATTCGAACATCTCTATCTTCTTTGATCCCCTTCACAAATTCCCTTTCTTTTTCATCTTTTCTAAATGCCCAAAGCTCTCAAACTTATTTTCGCTTTCGTTTCTTTTTTCGGTTTTAAAGTTTCCGAGCTTCAACTTTTGCTTTGGAAGTTTGGGTTTTTTAATGGATTGTTCATTGGAAGTTGCTAAAATGGAGATGGGTTTGGTTTTTCACGTTGTTTAATTGTTTGTAGTAAGAGAATTGCTTGTTCTTTGGTGAGAAAAGAAGTGTTTTTTTTTTTTTTAATTTTCTTTTAGCAAGATGGGGTTTTTGCTGGTTTGTTCAACAGGGCCACCGATAAAACGAAGGGCAGGATTGAGAATAAAACAGGCGGGTCGAGGGTCGTATCGTGGTAGCTAGAGGAAGGCTAAATTTTGAGTTGTAGTGAGTAATTGGTTTTTAGAGTGTAATAGACAATCTGTGTGTTTTTTAGTTGAAACCTGTTGAAGAAAAATGGGGACTAGTGCTTTAAGGCAGTTGTTGAAGAGTTTTTGCGGCAATTCACCTTGGAAATATGCTGTGCTTTGGAAGCTATGGCACCGGAGCCCTATGTAAGTTTCTCCTTTAGGGTTAATTATAAGAAAAAATGTACTAATCTTTGTTATGTCTGAATTTTAACTTGTTCAAATGTCTTGATGTAGATGGGGCGGCTTCATTCTCTTTGAAATACTATTATTTTTAGGCATAAATTGTTGTTATTACTACAATTTTTGATGGGGCATATGATCACTTTCATGGTTTTATGAGGATGTTGGTTAACTAGCCTATACAGATTCTCCTGGACTTAAACGTATAAACTTTTGGGAACCTTTGCTCTCATAGCATTCCACTTAGCAGCTACTGAATGATGCGTTTGTAACTAAAGAGACAAAAAGAAATAACGGTGTGGACTGTAATTGGGGTTTTCTTTTAATAGCAAAACCACGGATAAAGGACAAGCATTCAGCTTTGCGATAGTTCTATGAGGCGTATTGGATGCTAGTTTGCAAATATACCTATCAATCCTCTAACAGCATCTGCCATTACTGGACAAGGCCTTTGAGACTCCATAGGCAAATAGAATTATCTTGTACCTTTTTTCTCATATTGCCAACATTTTGTGGCGGTCAAAATATTTGCATTAGGAAATTAATATGTCATGATTCTCATTTTTGTTACATCACTTGATTGCGATTTTAAACTAGTTTTGACTCCCCCGCCCGCCAACCTCTCTATTGTGTGTGGGTTGTGTGTTTTACAAGTTGCCTTTGTTGATTTCAGGAGTTTGACCTGGGAAGATGCGTATTGTGTTTATCCAAGACCAAGAGAATCTGTGGAAAGTATCTCAAGTGATGTTTATTCTAACATTGAAATCATCCCATCACACTTTGAAACGAGCATCCATGATGGTTGTTTTGGAGGATACCCAATTGGCCTCGTGGTGGCTAATATGTCACATCTTAAGTATGCATGGGGAGAAGGGTAAAATGTTGATCTTAACTTTCATTATTACTAGTCGTGTTTGTTTCTCGTGATACAATAACATTTTTACTTTCTGGATATTAAACTGCCCATTGTTTATGGCTCTTCCTGAATGGTAGTTTTAGTTTTAAGCCTCAAGAAATTAATTTTGCAGGGGATTTCCTCTAGCTCTCATGCTACCATTATCCTAAATTTATTATTCTGCTCATCACCATCTACTTGCACCTCTCTCTCTCTCTCTCTCTCTCTCTCTCTGTTGCTTGGGAAGATGTTACCGAGCCAAAATTTGCTCTTACAAGTCAGTTCTTTGGAGATGAAACTTCTGGTGACTTTGAATCTCTAAATTTATCAGGGTTGTTGGCAAAGTGGCATATACAGGGAAGCACTGCTGGGTTTCCTATGATGACATTTTCACTGGCAAAGCCAACTCGAAGTTGGTTCCTGAGGTAAGTTTCTAATAATGATACATGATTTGTTTAAGATGGTTACAGTTCTGCAAATGACAGATAACATACGTTACAAGTGTTATTTTTCAATTGCCAGTGTCCAGAGGAATGGCTACTACAGTTTGCCTCAGGAATCAAGGTAACATAATCTTGTGCTGCACCTTACTAGCAAGTCTAGATCAATATTTCAGCTACTCCAGGTTCATGCTTCCATGTACACAATGGTGCACATGTTTGCATGTGTTTAATTAGTGCAGGCTTGATGATGAAGTTAGCTGCTCCATTTTAGATCTTTAAAACAGATGGTATTGATTATTTGTGATGCTTCTGCAGACTATTGTGCTGGTGCCTGTGCTTCCACATGGAGTTTTACAATTTGGATCATTGGAGATGGTGTGTATTTGTTCTAAAACTTTCTTATTGGCTATAATAGTATTCTGGTCTCAATGGGTACTTAGATATGTTGTTGTGAAATTTTAAGTTTCCTGTGTCTCTGTCAGTTCTATTAACCTGCACTGTATACAAGAACATCAGAATGGTTTCAATCTCAAGATTTCTAAGAATGTGGTCTTGAGATCCACGTGAACAGCCAGTGCAATAATTAATGATGCCTGGAGATGAAACTATTATTTTCCCCACTGCAACCCCCCTCCCAAATGAAAAAAAGGACAATCTGTTATGCTGCCTCCATAAGAGATGTCACTGTATATGTTTCTTCGTGTGAGTATGTGCGATTGTTTGTGTAGCAATTGGTGGGTGATTGTGTTGCAGTTATGTAAGTGGTGCTTTTGTCGTATATGTTTCTTATGTTCTGTTTTTTTCCCCGTCCATCAACAGGTTCCTGAAGATTTATCCATTCCTGCATACATCAAAGATAGATTTTCCTGCAAGGACATTAGCGTTCAGTTACCATCATCCCTAACGTCAAGTCTTTTGGAGAAGTTGGAAGAGTCTTCAAGTGCATCGATTAGCCCGCTGAACTCGGAAGATTCAAAAGCTGTTGATGGTATCAAGGCATTAAGCATTCAGAATGCATTTCAGGTGCCTGAAATAGATCTGCCAGAGGTTCTTGAAAGTGAGGGTGAAAATAAGATCAGTGTCCCACCAGTTAGCCTCAGTGAAGTATCATCACCGCTAAGCCAATCTATAAATTCCTACCAGCTGGCAATGGGGGAGAGTGAACTGTTTGGTTTGTCTTGTATTAAGGAAGAATTGCAGGCAAATCCTGAATGCAATGGTTACACTGTGGGAGAGTGTGGAGAAATCTTAGATGGAGTTACATATCCTTACCCTGCCAGTGATTTGCTGGAACCATCCTTTGGAGACTATAGTGTTTATGATGCTGGTTTCCTTAGCTTTCCCAAAGATTGTGAATTGCACAAGGCACTTGGACCAGCCTTTGAAAAACAGAGCAATGAATACTTTTGGGAGTCATCTTTTTTGACTGAGGATGTATTTAGAGATCTCTTTGATGACATTGAGCCCTCATTCGCTAAAGGAGGTGATGCAGAGTATCTGTTACAAGCTGTGGTTGGCCACGTATATGATGGTTCTGTTGACATTGCTAATAGATCCAATCATTTCATGACATCAACAGGACAACTTCCTGTGTCTACTCGACCTCAAAGTGTGATGGGTGATTCAATTCCAGTGAGCCGAGGTACTTCTGCACTTGTTGGTGAGGCAAAAAATAATTCTAGTTCTAAGACTTCAGTTTCTGTCAAGAGTACAGTGAGCACATTAACTGATGATAAGAATCTGGGAAAAGATTGCTATTACATGCAATCCAGAAAAGGACAAAAGCAATCCAGTGTCACCAAAAGAAGGGTTAGACCTGGTGATAACCCAAGGCCAAGACCAAGGGATAGACAAATGATACAGGATCGGCTTAAGGAGCTACGAGAACTTGTTCCAAATGGTGATAAGGTCAGTACTTCCTCTGAGTTAGTATCTATTGTGCTTCTTATATGTCGATGCTCATCTGTATTTTTTATGCTATCTAAGTCAATATACTTTTCTTACAAATTCAGTATAGCATTGATGCTCTCTTGGATCACACTGTTAAACACATGCGGTATTTGAGTAGTGTGACCAACCAAGCTGAGAAATTGAAGCAATGGGCACATCGGGAGGTATGTGCAGTCTAAATTAATAATATTTAAATGAAACAGTTGCATTTTTAATTTTACTAAAACTATCCTTTTCTCCAATGCCCTTTCCAATTACATTTTCGTTTTCTTTATTTTATTTTTCCATGGCATCCTCAAAATAATTACAACTATTTTCAAATTGGATATCCTAAGATGTGTAAGATGGAGCTCTGACTGGTAGAGTCATGGTCATTAGAGCTCAAACTCTAGGGTTTTGCTTTGAGGTCAAGAACCTTGGAGTAAAAGTCAAGATTAGCTATGTAGTTCAAATCAACCATTATTTTCTGGTGTTATGAGCTCAAGGCAGTCAGAAGTGCTGAGCTGCGAATGTTATGCTCTGCAGGTGACTGTTCGCAAGAATATGAGATCATCTGAAAGCAAAGATTGTTATCAAATTGGAGCAAGCTGGGCGTTTGAGATTGGAGACAAACTAAAAGCATGCCCCATCGTTGTGGAAGATCTTGCACACCCAGGCCACTTCCTCATAGAGGTCTGTTCTGCGTAGCATAACATGAATATGTTAAGAAACTGTGCAATAATGTCCATATTGCTTGATTTTAAAGTTAATTGCTAAACTACATCCACTGCAGATGCTATGCAATGAGCATTGTCTGTTCCTGGAGATTGCTCAGGTGATCCGAAGTTTCAATTTAACAATCTTGAAGGGCGTGATGGAGAGCTGTGCAAACAATACGTGGGCTCATTTCATTGTTGAGGTATCAGATAGCTTTTAAGTATGTGTTTTGACCATAACGGTATTTACCATGTCACAGTGGCAAACATTTCTGAGACATAACTACACTGCATGCAGGCTTCTAGGGGCTTTCACAGACTGGATATTTTCTGGCCTTTGATGCAGCTTTTACAGCGTCAAAGAAATCCCATTTCAAGCAAGATTTAGTGATGAATAATTCACTCTCTGTTTTCCCACTTCGAGCAAACTTAAAAAGGCATATTTGTCCACACAACTTTGTACCACCAGGCAAAGGAATGACATACCTACTAATTATCTAATGTATCAGTACTAGTTTTTATTGTTCGTGTACAAATTAATGCAGCTGGCACTGCAATCTGCTGTTAAAGACAAACTAGCCCCTGAAAGAATGAGTACATGCTTTAATGGATGTGCAAACAGCAATATGTACAGTCGTACACTAAGGCGATGATTACATCAAAGAACCCTGACCAGTCAGTGCATCTCTACCCTACCAAAACTGTTCCTCTTCGATCTTATCAAGAATTGGGGGCCCAAATTGGTGTTTCTGCCAGCAATAGCGTGTGCCACCAACCACAAGCAACATTTTTTGGTAGGCAACCGTCTATGGGAACCGGAGCAGGAGTGTTACGGTCGATTGTATCACCCAGACCAAGCTGCATGCAGGCAACCAAGAGTATGAATTTGACGTTTGTGCTGATGACATATGTCCGGTAGCTAAGTAGAGTGGGTGATTAACATCATACCTGACCGTACTTATTCCAACCCCAGCTGAGTACTCGGCCATCATCTGGGAAGAAAAACAATAAGCAATCTTAGGCCAGAAACTTACGAAACGCAGTTAAATTTTATAATTCTTAGTAATATGTCGATCTTCTCTCTGATTGTTTAAGCAAACCGCCAGAATCTATAATATTTTCTTGTGTGTCTATAGCGTAGATGCCCTTAGACAACTTCTAAGCCCCTTGTAATTTGTGTTTACCCTTCCCCTTGTAATTTGTGTTAATCCTTCTGGTTTTTGAATTACTTCCACTACCAAATGTATGTATTGTCTTGTTAGCTATGAAGCCCTTGCACAAATTCGACACCCCTAAAAAACTTGAGGAATATGAATACCAGCAGCAATAAACCAAGAGCTCGTTCTCTTGCCTATCACTTCTTCCTTATGGATGATTCCTAGGGTACTTTGTGTAGTCATAGTCATACCTGTAAGTATAACACTGTGGCGGGCCCCGCATGATACCATCTTTGCATGCTTGCCCTCCAAACTTGTGGCATCCAATTGCCTTGGTGACGTCTGAAGCAGACATGGAAACAACTAATTAGTTCTGGAACTTCGCAAGATACCTTGAAAAATTCTTGAATATTTTTACATGCATATTGATGAAAACGTGGAGCAAGAAGCTTAATTCTGACAATAAAAATGAATAAGAACGAACCAGCTCGAAAGTCATTTCAATCTGGTTAATAGCTTAATTCAAATGGTGGTCAATTCCTAGGCTTTGTTTCTGTATCATACAAAGAAAATGAAAGGGACTGCTCATTCTAGCATTTTGGCAATGACATATATACTTCTTGCTTCCATTGTCCCCTGCTGGAGTAGATGACCAAAGTGAAATAGAAAACAGCGTTTAAATATACCTCAGCCTGCTCAGCACCAGTACCCAGCTGTCCAAACTGATTACCACCAAAGGCATATACTTGGCCATCAACAGCTACGCAGACAGTATGCCACAGGCCAGCAGCAACTCCTAGGACTTGTATACCCGATAAAGAAGAAACGCAAGTTGGTTTCAAAAGATCACTTGTACTTCCTTGGCCACACTGGACAAAAAGAGGCAGAATAATTTTAGTTTCACAGGCAAAATGGATAAACTATAATAATGTAAAGCATTGAGGGTTAGTTTGGTTACAATGCGGGTCATATATGACTAAACATATGAGATAAAGTGTCAGATGCCAATAACATGGTTTTAGTTACCCCCCCTATTTCCACATATGTATGTATGTATGTATGTATGTATCAACCCCCCATATTTCCATATATATAGATAAGGTGGAGCAATGTTAGAAAGTGCATCATTTTATCCATTCATCTCACTACAAGGGCCCAAAATGAAATAAGGAATAAAATGGCAGAATGAAAATTACTACCAACAACAACATAAGTAATAGATTCACATTTACAATATTCACCTGCCCATAAAGTCCCCAACCGAAGGTAAGTAAAGCTCCAGCATCTACAGTGGAAAAAGTGATAAAGGACAGTCAGAATATATCAATGGTATTTAACATCTTTATCCAATCTCAGAAAAACAAGCCAAGAATGCAACTAAAACGTTTGTGATCAACTTGCAACCAGAATCAACCTTAGGAGATCCATATCAGAGAAATATAAGCTAGAATTATCTCGATGAAGGTCATAGCCATTGTTGAACTATAGTTGCAAAATCATAGCGAATTAAACCAGTATGTTTAATTTATGGGAAAAAAAAAACCGTAAAGCAATGTAATGAAATTCTACCACCTAATGCTGACCTGTTATTACTGCACTATGCCGACCTCCACAAGTGATTTCCTTCACATAGCTTCCATACGCTTTAGAAAGTTGCATTTGTGAACTCAAGCTTCCTTGATGAACTGCTAGAGACCTATCTTTTCCAGAAGTAGTTTGTTCAATGCATGGTATGAGGTGCGGAGAAGACACCATTTTTATTCGGGAACCTAGGCCTAGCTGTCCTTCACCTCCATAGCCCCAACCCCAGACCTGTCCCATATCTGAAACCTCGGTAAAAATATGATGCATCAGGTGTCTTGCTTTAGATCAAAAATCTTCCATATCTTCGTACTTCATACAACCTACAAAACTATATGGTGTGATGACAAGAGGCGGCTTCTTCACCTGAAAATACAACTGTCCAGGCTGGTGACCCAAGATGTAGTTTATTTACCTGACAGTGCTAAAGTATGGCGCCCGCCTGCAGCAACACTTGTGATCTTTACTCCTGGGCCCAGAGTCACGAGACAGGGAGACACAGTGAAAAATTCATCTCCAGAAGCTAAGCTTTCATGTTCTTCTGTTGCTGCAGATATTCTTCTTCGCTTTGCTGTTTCCTCCCCAGCCTTTCGATTCTCTGTTTGAGAAACTGTTCCACCACTTACATTGGATCCTCGCGACTTTGGACTCACTGTAAGAAATTCAACCTCCATAACATTAGTTTGAAACAATTAAAATGGTGCAGCATTTGTTACCATCGAGATAGACAGGCTTCAATGAAATCACCTTGTTCAGTTTGTAAAGTAGTCTGTTTCCCAACAATATCCTTTTCAAAGCTCCCTCCAGTAACCAAATCACAGGTGATTTTCCCAGAGGGGACACACTCCTTCCAGCCCCATGTGTACCCTTCACCTTTATCTGCACATTGAAAATTAGAAAAGCCCATTCAGATTCTGTTTAGATGAAAACATTTTTCAATAAAACAAATAGAGTAAAAACCTGTTTTCATCGCAACAGGCATTCAGGCAAAGCCTCCAGCCGTGGAAAACATATTACTACCAAGCTATGGTCTTAAACAATCTACATAAAGTTATTAAAGAGGCAAGGTCCCTTATCAAGAAGACTATATAAGCACTTCCATTCTAACACATATTCTGTCAATCGGGGAGAATTCAACAACTATTCTCTAAGATATTACCTATATCGCGGTGATGCAAGAACAATGGTCATCAGCATTTCCCAAATAACTTTCAGAATCTTCATCTCTCAACCAGTAAACATAACTTGTGTTCTTGTTTTCTTCGTACCTCAAAGAATTTTATTTGCAAATACTTTATATAAGCTAATCGACATTCTAAGCAAACAAAAGAATAATAGGAACTAGAAAAGAATTACCTGTTACAGAAACACAATGAGCCCAACCAGCAGCTGCCTTCACTATTGAAGCTTCAGTTGGAAGACTGAGCGGCTCTGGCGTTTCCTTAAAAATTATAAAAAAAAAAAATTGTGCCCCCAAAAAGAATATATTGCATTTTATCATTTCAGAGAAACCCTTAATTATTTTAACTCAATAAATTAGAGGATCACTTCAATTACCCCGTGCTTCCCTGATGTCAAGTAGCTTTGCCCTTCATCATCTGCTGAACCCCAAGTTATCAGCTTTCCGCAATCTAAATTTCCAAACAACAAAAAACAAACCAAATCAGCCATTTTTTCAATTAAAGTTCAATCCTTTCTTCAAAATTTTTCTTTATTCAGCAGAACTTTGGCCTAATACTGAAGAATTTTTTTTTTAATTTCAACTTAAACTCTCTTGAATAAATAGATAAAGCTCCTCAAATCCATAACCCAAATTGATTAATCAAAAACTTAGCTTGAAAACATTAACCAAAAAAAATTAAACGTCCTTTGAAAGCAAATTGTGAAAAAAAAAAAAAAGGATTAACCTGAAATGGCCATAGCAAATCCACAACCACCACCACAAACGTCCTTCCACGACGAAGCCGAAGCCGGTAACGGGACGGGAACAGGAGACAACATCGGAGCTTTCTCCGGCGAAGCTGCCGGTAAATATCCCCACATATAAACCGCCATTTCTTTACATTCCTCCATTTTCACTCCTTCTGTTTCATTTCCATTCATTTCTTAACATATTTTAAATGAAACGAATCCTGTTTTTCTTTTTCCTTTTAACTTTCCGGGAAAACAAGGATTCAATGCCGAGAAAATTTTCTGATCCTTTTTTCTGGAAGAGAAGAGAAGAGGAGAGAGAAAATTTAAAAGAGAAACACTGAATTGAAACTGGGGAGGGGGACCGTATCATTTACAGAGAAGTAACGTATGCCACGTCGGATGCCACGTCATTATTCCGACACGTGGCGCTATCATCACCGCGTGTATGGGTTTATTCCTTGTGCGCCACGAGTTCCCTGGAACTTTCTGGAAGGAAGAGAGAGAGAGAGAGAGAGAGAGAGATGACTTTCTTCACGTTTCCTCCTTCCCGGAGCTTGTCTGGTTGGACGCCACGTGGTGGGGCTAACCTACTAAAAGAAAATTCGGTAAATGTTTAAATCCTATTTTAATCTAGGTTTGTGATTTAGATTAGGTTTTAATCATAGTTTAATTGCTCCTATGTTGGCCTTAGGTTCGGGTCGGAACCAAACGCATAGGCACGGTGGGGTTACGTGGCGTCATCTAGATCGTTGGTTTTGGAATAAGTTTTATGATGGAGGGCCACGATGAACATAAACTAAATCATCATTAGCTTAAATATTGGTTCTTCTTTTTTCGTTAATTTAATGATTAATGATGTCAAAAGTAACCAACAGTTCTGCATTACTTTGTCTAATTTTATGGATCCATCTAGAATAATGCAAAAGTTTAATCAAGTTTATTAACCTTATGGTACTAACATATTATAACTAATTAATGGTAGAAGTTTGAATTTGATTCTTTTGTTATATTAATTCAATAATTTTAATTTATTTACATCAATTTTGATAAAATTTAATTCTTATATTTTTATTAAAAAATAATTTAAAAATAATTTATAACAATACTTAAATTCTATTGGTTAACTTGATGAATAATGTAGTATTCTTGACGATGGGATTGATTTTTTTAATCAATCAAAAAAATTATATGTTATTTTAATTAAATAATAATTAAATATTTTTATAATTTTAAAAAATAAATTTTAGTGATTTTTTATTAATAAGTCTCATATAATAAAAAAATCAATTAACATGTTGCATCATCAACAAGAAATCACGTGAACAAATTTCATTATAAAAATTTAATATTGTTATCAACCACAAAATGAAAAAAGTAAACTGAATGTAAATTTCGATTTATAATTAATTTATTGATTTTTGAGAGCTTGAATTATTTTGAATTTAAAATTAATATGTTTTCATTTTATTTTGGACAGTGTCTTTGAATTAGAAGGTCAAGGGCAACAGTTAACCATGACATTATTGTACCATTGGTCAAGTTGTTATAACAAAAGACTTTTAATTAGTAGCTGTAATTAGTCATACTTGGTCGGTTAATGTGATAAGGTAACAACTACTCTTTTATCAGCTAGTGGTTTAATTAATTCTACAACCTAAAACCAAGTGGTTTTATACTTTTGCTGAAATTTGAAAAAAAAAATGGAATATGTTATGTTAATTAATATATAAAGAGTTTTTCGTATATTATCAATTTATTTTAAATTGAATGTTCATCTCAAAAATTTAATATAGATTCAAAAATATATTTTATTTTTATTTATTGATCATTTTATAAGTTTTTTCGTGATTCATGTTACGTGATAAATGTTATTTTTACACGTAATTAAAGTGACGATGAAATAAATCGGTATCAATCATGAGCAACTAAAACCCATAGAAGAAGCTATTACAAGGACTTCATGATACTGCAGAGAAGGGTAAAAGAAACCTGGTTGAAACTAACTGAAAGTTCACAGAATCTGTTGATTTATAATCCATGGTGCAGTTTCATTAGGGCGAATGTTGTCTTTTGCCTACTGACAGGCCAAGTTCTTGGTGACATGATTGGTTGCTTTTGACGAGCACCATATCATTGAGTAAACTTAGAACTTCCATAGAGGCAGAGTCATAATCAATTCAGCTTCTAAGCTAACCAAGAAGCTGCCTGCGTAGAGGGAAAGGTACGGTAATGCTACCACACCCGCAGTGCTTCTATTTCTTGATAATCTCAAAAGGGGTAATGCAAGTTGACATAAAAGGTAACAAACCCTCTTTGATTTGCATTTGAGCTTCCTCATAAGCTGTAATGGAAGCTGAAAATGTGAAGCAATCTGATAAACTTACAAGGATAATTAAAGAGCTAGTCTCTTACGACTGCGAGTTTCTGTCCTGAATCCTGCTCTTCTACATGTTGATCAATGTCATTGCAATGAAAAATTGAACCAAGGAAACGACAAGTAAAACATTGGTGTTATTATCCCCATGCACAAGAGCTGTCCATTCCATTTAGAGACCCATCATTTTGCTCTGCAGTTCTGTGATGTTTGTCTTTCTTATACACTTTTTTTGTTTCACCAGAAGTGACACAATTAGCATATATAGACCAAAGAAGTTAGACCAACGAAAATGCTTGGCTTTCATGAAGTTCCAAGTCCATTTCTTCCCCAGTTTTGTAACTTCTTGTGTGTGTATGATTGTCACGAGTCTTCTAACTCGGATTAAAGATGGGAAGCAGACATTCAACTTAAAGGACAATTATTAATGTGTACCAAACTTTGCCATTACCGAACTCAGGGCCACTTTCTAAGTTTCTGATGCCATAGACCATTGATGGAAACACTTGAAAGCAATGGGAGCCAAAAACTCTTTGATTTTTCAGTGGAATTGGGTCGGCTACTAGGTGGTGTAGCAGGAAGAAATCATCCTACTCCTTAGTGCAGAGTAGTTAGAAGTTGCCCATGGTAGGTTCTGGAAAGGTTTGACCAAATTGACAAGATAGCCATGCAGAATCAATCAGAGACTGATCTGATATGGAAGACCCCAAAAATATGAATTACTTGATTTCCCATTTCTACTGAGGCTCACAATTAGGATCCTATTATGTTGGTGTTCGACAACCTAAGCCCAACGAATATGCTTTTCAACCCAAATCCAACTGGGAGGTTGTCTTCGCCTCAGCTGCTTCAAATAGAAATTCTCCTGGTGTTTTTTTTCCTAATTTTACATCATGTATTTAGTTTTATGTTATTAATTAAAACCCTAAATTCTAATATGAGAAATTTATTAGACATGTTATTAATTAAGCAAGACATCAAATGAGGACAGAAGATTTTCATTCATTCGTTTCTAAGTTTGGAGATTTCAAACGCAAATTGAGATAGTTTTAAATGCATATTTCAACTTTGTTTACCTCTACATGTATCTTCAATCATATGCAATTACATTAATAGAAGCAGCAACAAAGTAGAACAGAAGATGGCAATAATTTCAACCCAAAAATAGCTTAAAAGTTCCAGTTATGAGTTGACACATAACTACATTAAGATTTTAGCAGAAGATATCTGAGTCTTTCAAATGAAACACTTATCCACAATAAGAAAATGTTCCCTGTGAACATCTGGTTGAATTGCTTTAAGGCAATGTTTATGTTGACACACGCTGGTAGCTCGATGCTAGGAATTCAAGGACCAAACGAAGTAAAGCTAAAATTTTGGAATGGCCAACAGCCACCCGCTGTGTACCCTCCATCCACAGAAATAACCTGTCCGGTGATGTATGAGGCAGCAGGAAGGCAAAGGAATGCCACCAATGATGATATCTCTTCAGGCTCTCCCGTCCTCGGCATCGCTGTTCCAGCTATTAGCCTAAGAAATTCGGCAACATAAGGGCTGTCTGGCTCCTGGAAGAAAAACAAAGAGAATCTTGAAACAATTCAAACACTTAAAAGGTATATCTGTAATTCCTCAATTAAGGTATGTTAGAGGTAATATACAGGTATCATGATCGTGGTTTTGACACCCCATGGTGAAACAGTATTCGTCCGAATGTTATCCTTTGCCCACTCACATGCCAAGTTCTTTGTAATTTGGTTGATTGCTCCTGGGAATTGCAACAACCAAGGTCAACTGGTGAGATTTTGGCTAATAGCCTGCAAAACTTAAGCTTGCTAACATCTACATAGTATACCTTTAGATGCTGAATAGGCAGATACTCGAGGTAGAGCCAATGAACCAGCTACAGAGGAGATAAACACAATACTTCCATTTCCTGATGCTTTTAGGAAGGGATGTGCAAGTTGAGAAAGATGATAAGGAGCCTCAACATTGGTGCTCATTACAGTTGAGTAGTCTTCCAGAGTGTGTTCCACACAAGGTTTGAGCATTGTGATTCCAGCGTTATTGACCTGAGGACAAACTTGCTTTCACTTAAATTATTCTAGTAGCTGTACTTCCCCCAAAAGAATAATACCATTTTTATTTTTTAGTATATGAGCCAAGAACTAATCAAATTCCAACCTATTTGACAAGTTGAGATTTCATTTCTAGCATTTATATGTGCAGCCAGGACTATCCAGCAACACTTGTCAACAAGTTAGCAAATCACAGAAGATTAGGTAAAACAAAATAAAGTAGTTCTTTATGGGAATGAACCAAATATTACTCAAACCTTATCTGACTGAGATATTCACCCAGAAGAATTTTAATGTTCAGAACCGCTAGTGGATATGATAGAAAACATGGAGATCAAGGAAGATTGACAGAATAAAGAAAATAAGATAAAACTGAAGACAAGCTAAGGTGGTAGCTGATATAGCTTGGCAAGCCGGGGGAAACAGAAGTTTAGAACTAGAAACTTACGAGGATGTTTAGTTTGCCATCAAAAACAGAGGAGACAGTCTCCATAAGCTTCTTTCTTTGCTCTCTAGATGAGAGATCACAGACAGAACCACTCACTTTAAACCCTTTATTGTGCCATTCTTGTAACCTTTCATTAATCTCTGTCTGGTTCCGGGAACATGTATGAACCACTGCCCCGAGTGCTGCTAGTTCTTCCACAATGGCATACCTGACATTCAGGAAAACAATCAAATTAGTCCACATCGAAAATATCAGTATCAGAATGAATTGAAGTAGCATATGATGTTAGAAACATAAATAAAAAAAACAGAAAGAGAAGAAGAAAAAATAGAGAGAAAGATGGGAGTTCGAACCCTATGCCTCTTGTTCCACCAGTGACAAGGGCAGTCATGCCCTGAAGAGACCATCTTTGATTCTTGCAACCTGGTCCTGCTCCAGCCATTTTAGCACTGCAACTTTCTTCTTCTTTGCTTCAGTTTTTGGAATGAATAGAAAAAACTAACTACTCCCAGTACTTAACAGCTAAAATTGAAACGTGCATAAAACAATTTCTATTAAGAAATTAGCCATAGAAATTATCCATTGGCTGTTGTCAACCCTTTGCCACCCGAACAAAGAAAATTACAATCCAGAAAAAGACAAGCCGTAAACGTCGAAACCATCGAGCTACCTACTTTCTAGCTCATGGCTTCTCTTTCTAACTTGATTCCAGGTCCGGATTAGTGCTCGTTGGGGGCAAAAATCTAGCTAATTTCACTGTTAGATGAATGAGTACATCAGACAGCTGAGTACTGTTACAAATTGTTTAAGAATCTTTCGCAATGGATGAAAAAATCTCAAACCCCGATTTACCATGATTTGATTCTTTACATTGCTAGGAAGGATCCACAGAAAGTAACCTATATTTGATTCTTGGTGTAGAATTGTTAAGTTAGTATTAGCTTTTATTAGCTTAATATAATGCAATTTCAATGTTTAAGATGGCAAGATTGAGAATCTGATGATTATCAGAAAGGCAAGCAGCATCTTTGACCCTGTCATTGGATGATAAAGCAAGTTCTAAAGCCCGCAGGTGAATCAACTCGTGCTTGCCTCTCGCTTCCCACCACTGTATGTCTGAAATATATATATATTATTTCTTAATATTCTTACAACTAAAAAGAATATGGAAAAAGTCAAAGAGTCTCAAGAAATCGTAGTATGAATACTTCTAGACATTAAGCTTTTATCCTTAAAATTTGTATTATTTATAGTAATAATGCATGGAATATAACATACTAAAAGACTATACCGTGACAGCAAACTCTGATATCACACGTTTTGCATTAATTAATAATATATAAAAGATATGTAACAGGGGCGGCGCCTCCCTATGGGATGGCCCCCACAAAAATTAAAATTCTTTTACTAATTATATAAAATTTTTAAAATTTTTTTAATGACCACCTAACATAAATTTTAATTTAACAATTAATACAAATAAAAAATAATCAGATAATTTTATATGCTTGGCTCAATTTTTAATTTTTTTTATTTTTTTAGTTTATATTATTATTATTTATATATTTATTTATTTCTATTCTATTTATTGATATGTTTTAATTTTTTTTAAATTTTTTTTATAAATTTCTATGAACCATTAATCATATTTTTTTCTTTCTTTTTTAGTATGTCATATATGAATTCTATATTCTACTTGTTATATTTTTCTTTTTTCTGTTATGTAGATTTTAGTTTTTATGATTTTTAATTTTTAAAAATAAATAAATTATTATATAATTCTCAAATATAAGTTGCACGGTTGCATTGTTGCTTAAATTTTCATCAATATATTATTTATTTATTCAGAATAACTAATGTGTTCTAGTATGTATGTTGCAAAATTTAAATGACAAAAATATACATATAAATTGATAGAATGAAATAATTATATTGCTTTCAATATAAATTTTTTTATTATATATTTTTAATGACCCTCAAAATAATTTTTTTATTTAATAATTATTTTTATTCTTCAAACTGTTTGATAAAATTAGAGTCATTATGGTTAGCATATTGCTAGTTAAGCCCAATAGCTAAATTCTAAACTAATATGTTAAATCTATCAAATTTTTTAAAAAATAAAAGTAAGTCTGGTAATCCAAGCCCATTAAATTTTAATATAAATCTAAATCTATCATAATATATTATATCTTAACAATCTAACCTAACAGCTTTTTATAACAGATTATATTTCAATAATTCAACTTAATATATTAATTAACAATTTAAAAGGTAAATAAAAAATAAAAAGAGAGTTATAACATACAAATTAAGGAAAGAGATAATTCATTTGAGTTTAAAAAATTATTTTCTCTTCCACTCTTACTCATAAAAAGTAAAAGAAACTCTTTTCATAGTTTCATTTAATCATATAAATTTGTATGACACCACTATTATTGTTAATGTGAATTTTTTATATGTTCAATATCTTGTGAATTTTATTTACTCTTTTGGATGAGTGATAATTGAATTATATATAAAGTTTTCTTTGATTTTTTTATTATTTTGATTGTTTAGTGTCTCTTTCTACTTGGCTCCTCTTTTAAAATTGCTCTAGCTTTGCCTCTGTGTATATATAAATAATATAAAAAAAATTTCATGCATGAAAATAATATCATGATATAGTATCATATAAAAATTGACTATTGAGTTTCACTCTTTTTCTTCTTTGTTTATTTTTCCATTGGTTAATGTATTTATATTACAACGAACCACAAAATCTATTAAGTCAGGAGAATATATATATCCTAAGCATATAAATATAGTAAAAATTACTCCACTTATTACCAATTGATTTTATGTACTCATATTAAAAATTTAATATAATATCAAAATAAATATTCCACTCATTTGATAATCTCTCTTAATTTATATCGCGTGATAAAGTCCATAGCAAGGAGAATCACCCGTAAGCGAAGTACTTTCCATCAGCAAGAACTTTTAGCATGATGGAAAAGTTTTTGTTTTTTGTTTTGTGGAGACTGGTGAGGGAGGTGGGATTCTTCGGGTTAGAGAAAGAAAAAACAGAGAGACAAGTAGGGTGGAAAATTGAAAGGTTCAAGAGAATAAACAAAGGAGCACGCTTTGCAAAATATAAGTTGTATATTAGGATGAGTCGGCAGCAGCATACCCCAAAAGAAAGAGACTCTGTTTTTCTTGTCTAAGAATGTCGAATGGCAGCAAGTCCAGCCAGCAATAGCTTTGTAACAAGAGAAACAAGAGTCGCCATCTGATTGTCGCTCTCCCTACTCACTTTAAGTTCAAAGACTTCAATCCTTCTGCTTCTTCTTCCTTTTGCTCATACTCTTTTAACTCTACTACTCCATTAGTATTGTTTTTAATCTTTTTTTCTTCTAGGCCCAAGTTTTCTTGAGTCGTGTTGTCATAGAAAGACTTCAATCTGATTCACCAAGACCCATAACAAAGCCCAAAATAATTCTTCTTTCGGTTTTAGATTTTGTCACCACTTAACATAATATTAAAGCAAGCATTATTTTTATTAATATGTTCGTAATTCATATCATATGATAAATATATTATTTTTATATATATATAAAATTATTAATGTAATAAAAAATGAAATCTCACATATTCTGAGAATTTAAATATAACAAATATCTTTTTATCTATTCATTATTAATTTGTTTTAGATCAGATGTCATTCAACGCAATTATTCCTTTGAGATTTTCCTCTGAATTCTTATTATCCTCTAACTATATTTTAATTAAGGGTTTGAACTTTTGGCTAACAAAAATAACTAGGGCAAAAACTAATGACCGCCATATTCTTGTATAGTGAATAAATTAAGTCACCAAGCCTAATAAATTATGATAAAGAAATACCCAAAAATGGAAATAAATTAAGATCACAAACCCCAAGTCCAACACATTCCTTGAACAAGAAGAACATTAAGTCACGACATGCTCTCGTGTCTGAAAGATGACAACTGCAACTGCATATTTATTATTAAAATTTAAACGTGGATCATTGTCTTCCTTGCCGTGTTAGCTATCACAAAAAAAGAATTATTTCTTTTAATAATCAAGATTAGCGACATTGACAATGATTTATAACCAAATTCCTTTCAGATCTTCGAACAGACTACCTCTCTAAGAAATTAAATTCAGTAGAAATTTCTAAATCAAATGTTTGAACTTGAGCCTCGTAAAAGACATTAAAATAAAATACAGAATAAATTCTAACAAAGATTTTTAAGTTGTTTAGAGTCCGTGGTTGACGGGAAACTTTATTGTTAATAAAAACTTAAACGAATCAAAAATTTAAAGACAAAGGAAAAAAATTTTGTCCAAATTTCACTTGAAAAACAAAATACGAAAAAGATCTGAGTCATTATACATAATTAGCGTAAAAAAATCATACCCTTTGAACCATGTTGTGGAGTGATTTAAGGGTGATATCTTACGTACGTACTTGTCAAATTTATAATTATTAATGGTGAATGTTCATGAAAGTTGTATTAATTTAAAGTACTAGTTGCACCTAAAATTTGTCTGTATTTTATTTAAAAACTCATTGGGTTTACAATATGGGATAAGGACCCTGACCGACACCCTTTTCTTTGAAATAATTCATTGATTAAATGCATTGAAAAGTGTTTAGCAATTAGCAATGTATTTAAGCAAGATTAAGGTATAGCAAGATGGGTACCAAGATTTTGATTTGAAGCCAATAGTGACAGCAACGAAATAATATAATATCTTTTTAATATCAAACAGAAGAATAAAATAGATTATGAAGTATAAAATAATTAAATGTTGCTAATTTTCTTGTTTTGTTTAATAATAGACGTACTATTATGCTGCCATCAGTGTCATATCATACCCAAATATCCGCCGTATGCTTTCAGATTCATATTTAAATAATTATATTAATTATTTATTTTAATCTTGATTTTTTATTTTTTAAAAATTAAAGATATCTTCAACATATTTACATAAGAAAGGTCTTTTCACTTGTTATCAACTTATTTTAAATTAGATATGGTCTTAAAAATTTAAGGTATTATCAAAGCAGATGTGATTCATTTCGTATGATAAAAATGTATTCTTTACACGTGAAGGGATTATTGAAGTGATAATACAAAAAATTTCATATCGATTAAGTTAGAAATATACAGATGAATGTATCATGTTACTTTATTTCTAATTATTCCCATTTTGAAATAATGAAAGCTAAGGAGGAAGGCAGTTTTTGTGGAATCTTTAAAGAAATGACAATAATCTGACTGGTGGTCTAATTTTAAACTCAACCCAAAAAAAAAACGAAAAAGGTGTCTTAATCTTGATAATAGTATCTAATTTTTGGAGAACTTGTAGATCCTTTCTCTTTTGTCTTATCTTTTGGAATGAATTGATTCTAGTTAATGAACTATACTAACTTTCAAAAACTATCACATTGATGGGGGAAATAAAATTTTAAAAAAATCCAAAAATAATTCATTCATCCAAGCGTAATGGTTTGGACAAAGAATTTTACAACCAAATCTTAGGCAGCTAGCTAGAATTGTTAATAATAAAGAAATAAAAAAAAAAGGGGGGGCTTCATTATCTCCTCCGGGGATCAGGAGAAATTCCTTATTGTTGACTGGTTTTTTTCTGCTCAAAATTCAAAGAAGATTCCATGTAAACATTATTGAATAGAAAGAAGAATTCAACAGATGAATGAAAGAATGAAAGTTTAGATGGAAAATATGTTTGATGGTCGACCTTGGTGGAGGCAACTGGCCAATTGTTTGCTTAAAACCAAGGGGTCTTTGCCCAGGTTTTCTTCTTGAAGCAAACATTCACGTGATGCATGCGTCCTGAAAATTTTGTTTATCAATCAATAAGTAATTAAAAAATATATTACATTTAAAAAATTATTATTATTTTTTATTATATTTAATCAAATCTGTATAATTTTATATATTTTGAACTAAATAAGTTCTAATAACTAATTCAATCATTTTATACATACGTGAAACCAACGTGAAGGGTGAAAAATATAATATAATTAAGTTATAATATCACATCAATATATTATGTTATTATCTATTATGACATATTAATATGCTATATCAATACTACATGACATAGAATGACAAGTGATGTTCTGTTTAACAAATTAACGATATTTAGTAATAATGACCGATTTAGTTCAAAATAAAAATATAAAGACTTGATTGAATACAATAAAAGAATAATAACTTATTTAAATTTTTTTAAATAATTTAAAATTTTTTTGAACTATTATACCAAAGAAAAATTGTATAGCCTGTACAGAACAATTATCGGATTCTGTCAATGATGTCCGAACAGAAATAAGTTTTTAAATTAAGACCGATAATTAATTATGAATAACAAGTAGCAAAATGTAGAGAAAAGAACTATAATATATTTTTCTAAACAATAGAAAAATTGAATTCAAAATCATCTATTTTAATAAGATGCTATTCAGTCAATCGAAACCGAAATTAAGCCTTCATGAATCTTTAACTTTATTTTCAGAGTAAGTTCCTCCACAACAATAAGGACAATTTCAACGAGCAAGGACTGAAACGTTAAAACGTATTTAATTATTAATTAAATCAAGACTAAGTAAAGTATTACGTACTAAATTTGACTAGTTAATTAAGTTCTGACCCATTATTTATATATGAACTGTGAGCTTATAGAAAAAAGCAGGAGGTACCGTCCAATTATAATAGTCCACATTCTTTGCTTGTTTAACCTTTAGAATCTTCAGAAGACTTGTTTGCATCATCTGGGAAAGTTTATATGTTGTTAGGAGAGACACAAAAGAGCTTTGATTGATTACTGTCATCCATCCAAAAAGGTCCAAAAAGATATTACATATGTGTTTTAAGATTTAAATAGTTAAAATAACACCAAACAAAAGAAAAAAATAGCTAAAATTCTGAGGAAATTCTTCATTATCGATTTGAATAAAAATAAATTTCAAAACAAAATCATTCTTCTTGGAGACTTGGACTAGTTAATGTGCTTTAATTTGTTTTATGTAAGATCCAATCGACTTGTCTATTGTAGTAATTGAGCTGACACTATGAAACATTTTTTTTGTTCAGAATAATGGTGGATTCATATCATAACCCTGATGAGGCTTTGTCAGAATTGGATTGAAGGTGGTGATAGAGGGTGCCGATTGTCATCCTCAATTTTTAATTCGTTTTTTAAATTTCATTACTCCTAATCAAATTAAGCAGCTTGTTTTGGAATAATGGTAAGTCATTACTTGTGTAAAATCTTGAATCCATTACTTGACTTGATCATGATAACTCGATCATTACACAATTCTTTTCATAAATACATAATCACATCTCTCCTTTAAACAAGAAATTATATTATGTGGTGCCATTAATTCATGGATGTGGTCATCCATATCTAATTCCAAATTTGATTTAATTCTATTATAAGCCTTCAGCATTTGTCGTATTTCATTTAAGCACACTTTCTCCTTTCCTCCGAAATGATAAACTACCTTCAATTGCCTCCTAAAGGAATTCGAAATCCAAACTACAATTACTCTTTCAAAAGTATGTCTCGTGACTCTCTATGTAGCCCCTGAAAATAAAGTGGACAAAAATGGAAAAGGAACAAGGAGAGAGAGAAATAATGCTTTGTTCTTTAGTTTCCATGGCAATAATATAATTAGGAAATTAAAATGCCTTGTGTTTAATTATATTGCACCTTTCAAAATGGTATAAATATTGTCCTACTTCTTGGTTAAAGAACGATCTTGTACATGTCTTCGAAATAGAAGTATAGGGTATTTAATTGGAGACATTGTAATTTGTTCATACACCCTGTGAAGTTAATGCTTTTGTAAATTCTCTAGTTAAATTCAGGGTAGATCGTTTTGAAATATTTTTTACAAGATGGTAATGCTTCCTTGAATGGGGATACTTAAGCTTATCGTGTGTTTGATGTTGTTTCTTCTGTATTGAGAAGTTGGTTCTAAATTGCTTCAGATCAGTTAAATTTTTTACTATATCAAGTACTTTTAATATTTTCTGTTTAGGATGTGTTGTTGTAAACTTTAATCTGATCTCTTTCTGTTGATCAGATTTTGTATGAGTTATTAATACTCAATAAAATTTATTCTGATTATGCAAAGGAGAGTACATGTTAGGGTTTTATGTCCTGCCTGTACTAAATTGCATTACTATCATGTAAGGCTAATTTTTTAAAATTAAATGTTTTTTTATTATATTTAAAGGACAGGTGATTTGAACTTTTTTTTTTTGAAAAAGAAATTATGTATTAATCAATAAATTAAATGTTCAGATATTTTTTATAATCAAACATTAATGATGAATTCGAATACATTCAAAAAAAAATTAAGAGCCTGTTTGGCCTAGTTTTTTTTAACTTAAAAGCTATTATAAAGTTTTTATGAAAAATAATAGTTTTTAGAATTAAGTTGAAGTTATTTGATAAATTTTTTTTTATAAGTTATAATTTTGGTTAAAATTATTGTAAAGGGTATTTTTTTTAGAGAGTTATATTGTAATTATTTTTAACAGATGAGGATATTTTTGAAACAAAAATAAAATTTTTTTTATATTTTTAAAAAAAGAGAAGAAAAAGGAGTTTTTTCAAAAAGTTTTTTTTTAAAAATTTTATTCTTTAAAAAAAACCTACTCTTTTTAAGAGTTTTTTAAAATTTATGTTTGACCTGATTTTTACTTTTTAAGAAATAGATAAACTAAAAAAAAACCAGGCCAAACGAACACTAAGTAAAAACAAAATATAGCATTAAAGCCGGACGAGCAAAAGACCAAAATGACACTATCATTTATATACATTCTAATTAATTAGGGGCATATATAGCTGTAGGGTCATTCTTGCCACAATAATCTTTGAACCACTGTGAAAGGCAAGCGGAAATAGGATTGATCTTTTATATAAGAAGGGAAGGGAATATAACTAATAGGAAAATGATGATATTGAGTCCAAAGATGACATCTAAGCACTAAATGTCGCATATTCGAACAACTGTGCCATCTCTTTTGCTATGTTTCTCTAGGATTTCAGTCAGACGATCACAGTTTGCCTGTAAGCAGCTACATCGCAGAAGTACCTCCACTCCATTCAGGACCCACCTTTGTAATTTTGTAAGCCATTTCTCCTCTTAAAGAAACAAAGAAGAGTAGCTACACACACTTAGACACCAAAAGGTAGAGTAGCCATCAATT